ATGTATTTTCTTTTGTTAATAATGTCCATTTCAGCTTCCAATCATTAAGTTCAACTTTAAGTCGAAAAATCTATTCGGTTAGTTATTAACCGAGTTAAGTTCGATAATTAGTTCCGAACCGTTTATTTTATAAACAGATATTAGTAATCGGGATTAATTGTTCGAAATTGAGAATGCTCGAATTAATTTTTGAAGCTAAATTCAGATTAAGCGTTAAGTGGGCTAAGTATATAATGTGTTCAAGTATTAAGCCTAAGTCGTGCATTACCGCACGGACATGCGCACACCACGCACGCAAGCGTCGTGCGTGCGCGCACGCGCGTCATGTGCCTAAGACCACCGACCACGATTAGTTTATGCTAAGGCAAGCACTAGATCATGATTAATTGAGCCAAGCTGAAGGCATCACTAGTTGCCGTGAGAAGTTACCATAAGATAAGTTTGGAGTGCAAGTTGTGATGGTGACTCACCTAGTCGCTTGTCCACATGGCACTACACGAGCCCACAAGTGGCGACTAAGCACGTGCATGCGTGCCACCTCGAGAGATGACTAAGCCGAGCGTGCGCCTCCTCAGCCCGTGACTAAGCAATGAAAATGCCACGAAAACACAAGGTTAGAGCAAATGGACCAATGGGAGTTTGGGAGTTTAATTCATTTTTCATCTTTACCATTTTCATCTATTTAACCTAAGCATGGCCGTAGGTTTTATGCACATATTTCATGAAAAAACCGAAGGCTAAATTGAGAGAAAACCGAGAAAAAGATATATTATATTGAGGGAAAGCCAGAAAGATCTTACGACGAGGTGATTGCCATGTTGAGGGAAACCCTAGTGAGCCTTGTTGAAGACGAACCGAAAGCACGGACACCTCACGACATTTCTATCGTTCGTGAGTTTGTGGACTTGTTTCTAGACCAGCTTCCAGGTGGTCCACCCAGCCGACAGGTGGAGTTTTCTATTGATCTTATTCCAGGAGTCGGACCAGTATCCAAGGCGCCGTATCGAATGGCACCTAAGGAGTTACATGAGTTAAAGACCCAGATCCAAGAGTTGCTGAATCTCAGTTTTATTCGACCGAGCGTTTGACCATGGGGAGCACCCGTTCTATTCGTCAAGAAGAAAGACGGTTCTATGCGCATGTGTATTGATTACTGGGATCTTAACCGGTTGACGATCAAGAACAAATATCCGCTTCCCAGAATTGATGGATTGTTCGACCAACTGAGGGGCGCCTGTGTATTTTCTAAGATTGATTTACGTTCAAGTTACCACCAGCTGAAGATCAAGGAGTCAGACATCGCCAAGACATTGTTCCGAACCAGATACGGTCATTACGAATTCATGGTTATGCCGTTTGGTCTCAGTAATGACCCGGCAGTATTAATGTACTTGATGAACCGTGTATTCTATCCTTTTCTTGATCAATTCGTCATCGTATTCATTGATGATATTCTTATCTATTCTAAGAGCCAGAAGGAGCATGAAGAGCATCTGAGGGCCATTCTTGAGACCCTTAGACGTGAACAGTTATATGCTAAGTTCTCTAAATGCAAATTTTGGCTTCAACGAGTGGCTTTTCATGGCCACATTATTACTCAGGCAGGTATCGAGGTTGATCCATCCAAGATTGCCGCAGTTCAGAACTGGTCAGCACCAAAGAATCCGTCCGAGGTTCGTAGTTTCCTCGGCCTTGCAGGTTATTATCGCAGATTTATTGAGGGGTTCTCGAAGATTTCCCTCCCTTTGCCCCAATTTACGAGCAAGTCTGTGAAGTTTAAATGGACAGATCGTTGTGAGTCTAGCTTTCAGGAGCTGAAAGAGAGGCTTACGATGGCACCGGTGTTGACTATTCCGGATCCTTCTTGGAGTTTCACCATCTATAGTGATGCTTCGAGACAGGGTTTGGGGTGTGTACTTATGCAGGACGGCCTGGTTGTAGCGTACGCTTCACGTCAGTTGAAGCCCCATGAGCAGAATTATCCTACACACGAACTGGAGTTAGCTGCAGTGGTACATGCACTTAAGATATGGCGGCATTATCTATACGTTGGTCGGTGTGAAATTTATACCGATTACTAGAGTCTGCAGTATATTTTTACGCAGAAGGAGCTCAACATGCGTCAGCGACGTTGGTTAAAGCTCGCTAAAGATTATGACTGCACGATTCAGTATCATCCGGGGAAGGCGAATGTTGTAGCGGATTCCCTGAGCCGAAAGGTAAAGGGTTAATTATCATGTTCTATTACTCAGCAGCATCATCTTGTTCGAGATTTTGCCCGGAGATCACGGGGAGTTTTAGCTCAATGAAGATTCAGCCCACACTGAGAGATAGAATCCGGCAGGAGCAGGCTTCTGATCAGTTTATTCACACTATCGAGGCCAAGGTTCAAGCCAGAGAAGTCGAGGGTTTTTCCTGAGGCACTGATGGCACCTTGGAGTTCAGAGGCAGGATTGTAGTGTCGAAGGTCGAGGCCTTGCAGAAGGAGATCTTGATAGAGGCACACACCGCACCATATTTAGCTCACCCCGGCAGCACCAAGATGTATCACGACCTGAAAAGGTCATTCTGGTGGCGGGGAATGATGAAAAATGTTGCCAGGTTTGTGAAGAAGTGTTTGGTCTGCCAGCAAGTCAAGGCCGAGCACAAGAGTCCGATAGGCCTCCTGCAACCACTCGAGATCCCGAGGTGGAAGTGGGAGGAAGTCACAATGGATTTCGTTACAGGGCTACCCAGGTCGTTCGAGCATCACGACGCGATTTGGGTGGTAGTGGACAGGTTGACGAAAGTTGCACATTTCCTTCCTGTAGTGACGACCATGTCGATTGAGAAGTTGGCCGAGATTTATACCCGTGGGATCGTTCGACTCCACGGAGCGCCCGTTCATATCATGTCAGATCGAGATCCAGATTTACCAGCCGGTTTTGGGAGAGTTTACACGAAGCGATGGGAACGCAGTTACAGTTTAGTTTGTCTTACCATCCAGAGACAGATGGCCAGTCAGAGAAAACGATTCAGAAGCTCGAGGATGTGCTCCGAGCATTGGTGTTAGACAGAGGTGCTAAGTGGAAGTCAATTTTACCGTTAGTTGAGTTCGGCTATAACAACAGTTATCAGACGTCAATTCAGATGGCTTCTTTCGAGGCACTTTACGGGCGTAAATGTCGCTTGCTCCTTTATCGGGACGACGTTTGCGAACGTCAAGTACTCGGTCCGAAGATGATCGAGGATACAGTTAAGGAAGTTGAGCTGATCAGACAGAGACTCAAGACAGCACAGAGTCGGCAAAAGTCATCGGCCGACAAACATAGACGAGATATCCAGTTCGAAGTCAGAGAACGAGCCTTTCTGAGAGTTCATCCATTTCGAGGGATCATTCGATTCGGGAAGAGAGGGAAGTTACATCCCCGATTTATCGGCCCGTTCGAAGTTCTCGAGCAAGTGGGCGAAGTAGCCTATCGTTTAGCTTTGCCTCCCGAGCTATCCAGTGTTCATAATGTTTTTCATGTATCCATGCTTCAGAAGTACGTGTGCGATCCCCATCATATTCTCTAGCATACTGATATTCAGCTTCAGCCAGATTTATCGTATGAGGAACGACCGGTAGCAGTTTTGGACCGACAGGTTCGACAGCTCCGTAGACGAGATATTTCCCTCGTACGTATCAGATGGAATCACCACGGAGAGTCTGATGCTACTTGGGAGCGTGAAGCAGACATAAGAGCTCGTTTTCCCGACTTTGAATTTTGATGTATATACTTTTCTTATATTCTGTATATTTATACAGTTTTGTATTTCCGAGGACGGAAATACTTTAAGGAGGGTAGATTGTAATAACCCAGTTATTATTCATAAAAGCGATGTATTTTCCTTTTGTTAATAATGTCCATTTCAGCTTCCAGTCATTAAGTTCGACTTTAAGTCGAAAAATCTATTCGGTTAGTTATTAACCGAGTTAAGTTCGATAATTAGTTCCGAACCGTTTATTTTATAAACAGATATTAGTAATTTGGATTAATTGTTTGAAATTGAGAATGCTCGTATTAATTTTTGAAGCTAAATTCATATTAAGCGTTAAGCGGGCTAAGTATATAAAGTGTTCAAGTATTAAGCCTAAGCCGTGCATTACCGCACGCACATGCGCACACCACGCACGCAAGCGCCATTCGTGCACGCGCGCTGATGAAGATCATATGTTTCAACTGCCGATAAGCCGCTAACCCGCGCCTCGAATCGCCGATAGTGTTTCTCTAGCCACAATCGCGCCTATTGAAGCGAATAAAATTGCAATAGAATTTTGGTGGAAATCTAAAGCAAAGTGGAAGAACAAAAGTTCTGGATTTCTATTAATTCTTGGATGATGATAAATAACATGGGGGAAGGGGCCTTTAT